CGCCACGTGGGCACTATTAATCTAAGATTGCGGTCGGTTTCTCAGAAGGTACAAAAAGACGCCCTCTAGCCTGCCTCTAATGAAGTACTATTGTATGTGCTTATGTAAGACGACTTACGATAGATGGTGTGCGCTGATCACTGCAGATTTCTACCAAAATCTACAAAATCCATAATGAGCGCATAACCGCGGCCGCCAAGGGCCAAATTTTACATATAGATGGATTTTCTTAACTATCGAAGCTGTACCTATGATAATGATATTTAATAATACATTTTCGTGCTGTGGTTTCAAGTCGTAATTTTTACCTTCACCTTTGGAACGCGCGTCTCTTGTAGTGAATATGAAACCACTTGATGCATATTTTACCAACATATATCTAATATTAAATAAATGATTGTTATACTACCTATAGCATGTGCCTATATATTATGTATTTTCATATATAATACCATAAGTAGTCGAAGTATTGTCGAATATTTTTGAGGTGCTGTCACGAATGCTAGTTACGCTGATTAATACCACGAGCGCTTGCGCGAGTGGTATTAAAAAGCGTAACTAGCATGAGTGGAGCAGCAGTTCAAAAATAATCTACAAATACTTCGACTACTAATGGTATTCGGAGGACTATTCAATGAATCAAAAGAAAAATTAAGCATAATTACCCACGCGAATGTATTTCCATGACAACAATAAACGTCAAAATAAATTATGGAAGTTGCTTTTCATTTTGCTATTGATTCTAGTCGAACTTTTGTGCTCCAAGCTAATTCGTTATGAGTGATTAAATTAAAAGATGTGGTGATAAGTCGGTTGTCGAAATTGATTAACAAACTAAGAAGAATGTTCCGGTTAATATGACAAAATTTCGCGTCATTTCACTGGTGGAAGTTTGACAAATGTCATTGAATAATCGCATTGAATTGTCACTTATAATTGCACAAGAGGTTTGTATTTTACCGAGTAAATTTGGGTTGTTAAGGTAATGAAAATCTGTTGCCTAGCAATTAGACGAGAAAAACTGTCGACTAATAAAAATGCGCAGGTGGAGCATTTTTAGGTTGACAGTTTTTCGAGTACAATTGCTAAAAGGAAACAGATTTGAATTGCAACAACCCAAATTTACTCGGTTTAAATACAAACCTCGAGTGTAATTCGGCAGGACAATTTAACGAACAAGAAATTCAGCAAACTAATCAATTATTGACAGACGTCAAATATAGTCATATGGGAAAGGATAATGCGATAATTGGTTCGAAAATGAATAGTGACAATTCAACTCATGTATAAAAAATCACATAAGCCGCAGTGTAATTGTCACTTTGACAGCGGCAAAAGTTACCTGCAACTTTTCCAGCGACAAATGCACTAGTGGTTTTTTCACTTATTCATTTTCGAACCAATAATCGCATTATCCTTACCCATATGACCAGTTTGACGTCTGTCAATAATTGATTAGTTTGGTGAATTTCTTGTTCGTTAAATTGTCCTGCCGAATTACACTCGAGGTTTGTATTTAAACCGAGCAAATTTGGGCTGTGGCAATTCAAATCTGTTTCCTTTAGCAATTGGACTCGAAAAACTGTCAACCTAAAAATGCTCCACCTGCGGTGTCGCATTTTTATTAGTTGACAGTTTTTCTCGTCTAATTGCTAGGCAACAGATTTTCATTACCTAAACAACCCAAATTTACTCGGTAAAATACAAACCTCTTGTGCAATTATAAGTGAAAAAACCACTAGTGCGTTTGTCGCTGGAAAAGATGCAGGTAACTTTTGCCGCTGTCAAAGTGACAATTGCACTGCGGCTTATGCGATTTTTTATACATGAGTTGAATTGTCGCTGAAATACCACACGTGAAATTATCTGTAATAATATCACAAGAGAGTGAGAATAAATTGAAAATAATTCGACAGGTTTTAGAAAACTTGTTGCCAGGCAATAGTCACGAGAGCCCAAAGGGCTCGAGTGGCTATTGCCAAATGGCAACAAGTTTGAGAAAAGACCTGGAGAATTATTATCTAATTTATCGAACTCTCGTGTGGTATTCGATAGATTATTTTTTCACGTTACAATCAAAATCACTGTTAAGATTTTCTTTATAGTCTTCTCCATTCTGTTTCTTCGCATATTCAACCCATTAGTCCTTCAAAATAACGACTAGTTTTGCGGTTTCTTCCAATGTATAGCCCCTCAATTCGTCGCAAAATAATTGAAATTGTTTCCAAACAGACGCGTTGCTTATTAGGGTACCTACATATTCTTAAATGCACTTACATTTACTTACAATGATTATATTACTTATTTCATCGACTGATGATTCACTAAAACGTTTGCGATTCATTTTACGAGCTTCTTGAAAATTTATGACAGACGCGTCAGATCAAGAAAATAGTTGTCATGTGGTTGTCATTCACTAAAAACAATGTACATTGAAAAATTCTCGCTGGGAATAATGTAAGTAGATTATTCTCACTATAATAATGTTGTGATTGGCTAGAACGTATATGAATGACTGAAATTGAACATTTCTATTGGTTTCGAGAAACGTCAAAAAATAATCACTTATAATTGCACAAGAGATTTGTATTTTACCGAGTAAATTTGGGTTGTTTAGGTAATGAAAATCTGTTGCCAAGTAATTAGACGAGAAAAACTGTCAACTAATAAAAATGCGACACCGAAGGTGGAGCATTTTTAGGTTGACAGTTTTTCGAGTTCAATTGCTAAAAGGCAACAGATTTGAATTGCAACAACACAAATTTACTCGGTTTAAATACAAACCTCGAGTGTAATTCGGCAGGACAATTTCACGAACAAGAAATTCACCAAACTAATCAATTATTGACAGACGTCATACTAGTCATATGGGAAAGGATAATGCGATATTTGGTTCGAAAATGAATAAGTGAAAAAACCACTAGTGCATTTGTCGCTGGAAAAGTTGCAGGTAACTTTTGCCGCTGTCAAAGTGACAATTGCACTGCGGCTTATGCGATTTTTTATACATGAGTTGAATTGTCGCTGAAATACCACACGTGCAATTATCACTATAATTCGTTCCCATTGGCGCAGCAATTTGAAATCGAGACATTTCACTGGTTGAAATGTGACAAATGTTAGATGAATTGAATAGTCAAATAAACACCACCCAAATTTTTGCTTGGACAGCCATGAAATAATCATTGCATTAAAATCAGCAACCCGTTGCTGTTAAAACAATTTTGTTGTGAAACATGTCGTATTACTTACAGTTTGCATAACAAGCACTTACAGCGCTCCCTACTGTTTTTTTCTGTTCTTAAAAATTTGCTGCATAGTACATCAACAAAAAATTAACTTAATGAAAATGTGGCAACCCAAAGATCTATAACCTGGTGCATCAAGGTAGCTACATAAGGATGTCTATCATGGGGATCTCGGAAACCATGGAAAATACGAAGATGGTCAAATTAGGAAAAAGCAATTAAAGAGTCAACATCATGCTGTGAAAACCAGAAAATTCCGATTACTTCCGAAAGTATGCCAAAAAACTGAAATTTGCCGATTTCGTTTTTATTATTTTCAGATGTTATTTCAACAGATACTATAAAAAACAAAACGCTACTCAACACAGTATGCGCTTTTTTTACGGGCCATATAAAAAAATACAGTTGGTGATGATTTCACCGAAACGAAACGTTGGCGTTGTGTTGAAAATCGTTCAACGGTGTCTTGTAGAGCTCAAAAAGTGGCAGTGAGAAAGTGGTTTTTATTTTTGGTATCTTTTCAAATAATATCAGAAAAAAAATAAAACCGAAATCGGCAAATTTCGCTTTTTCTGTCATATTTTCGGAAGTAATCGGCATTTTCCGGTTTTCTTCACAGCTGATAACTTTTCCCTGATTTGACCATCTTCGTATCTTCTATGGTTTCTGATATCCCCATGATAGACATCCTTATCTTGGACTCTTTCACTTAACCCGGACCCGGACACGGACTCAGACTAAAAACATCAAATCAAAATTTCAAATGTGCACTTATATGGTCACATGTGACAAGATCGATCGAGGAGCATAACCGTACAATAGTCGTTCATTAAAGCTTTTAACTTTGCACTCTCAGAGTCAGACGTTAATGAGTACGTCATTAAGGAAATAGTGTACCTCGGTACGAATTTTTCATTCAGAAATGCAAAATCGAATTACAGAGGATAGAATTAATTGCTTGCGAGATTTTTAGTTGAGAAGCGTATACTTTTACTTTTGCAGTGAAACTTATTTCTTTGTGTTCAAAGTATGAGTGGAGTGAGTGTTGTTTCTTTATTCGGAAAACCATTTCAAGTTTTGTAATAATCTTTACAGTAGACCTAGAACTCTTGACGCTTGGATAGGAGTTTAATCCTTGAGACATCGTGACTGTGGACTGGACAACTGATAAAGTTAGGGACACTAGGTATCCTTCACTTTGTGCTTGTACTGAACGTGAAGCTTCCAAAAGGATGATCCAGTGACGAATTTTCCAAAATGTGAAATTGGTAATAGTGATCCTGAAATTGTATTTACGTCATATACCTTTAGCGTTTTATTTATAGATCTCTAAAACCCACGCTAAATGTTCAAATTTGATAGGAGCGCCTACGATTTTGATATAAAAGTGCAGGCATGCGTTCTTCGCTATAATTGCGACCGTATGTCAAGATATTGCAATCAATAAAACATATTTTGAGAGTCCTGAATACTTCGTTACTGCAATTGGAAGCCTGGGTGAACATTTTTGTCTCCCACGGAATTTTTTGATCAATTTCATGCTTTTATTAAAAAAACAAATTATGCTTTTTTTTCAGTAAACTTTCCATAAAGCGGTAAAAGGTCTTTGCTGTTCTACTCCATATGGCTTATCGCTTAATTACTATCGCTTGCGGTTGTATGTTTTGTTATCACATATTGGAAAGTTGGCATGTATAGGAAGCGTCGTCGGTTTAAAATTTATATCAGTGAGTAAATAAACGCGGCCTATGCTACGACTTCCTTAACTGAGTTGTCGAAATTCAGTGATTTACTTTCAATTTGAAGTTATATTTTTGCATTAAATTTAGACACAAAACCAGACCCTGAAACAGAATCGATTTTGCAACCTACGCACGCCTTCGCCTTTGGGGGCGCCGGCGCTAAGCGTCGTTCTTCGTCATTAACAGACTACTACTAGAAAATCAAGACGGTTTAGACCGTCCCAACGTTTTGTGTCATATTTGACGATCTAGTGTTCAAGACAGTGTTTTATAAGTCATCACAACTATGCTGTGAACCGCACTGGCCTTCCTTACAGGTAAACAACCCGCATTTCTTCTACCCCTTCATGATTAAATAAACACCCACCTGTTTGTAACGTCACCTTTTCACCGTAATTCGCACACGGAAACGAGTTCGAAGAGCGTTTCCTCAACGGAACTAACCCAATCTTCTTATTGCAGGCCATGCAGGGGCCCAGCGGCGCCCTGCGCTTTGCTCTACTTCTTCTAATTGCCACCGTTGGCCCCCCAGGGGTCTATACCGAAGGAAATGTTGGTAAGTCTCGTGAATAATTTATTTTCCTCAACGCCGGCTGATTAGCTATCAATCTTTTTCCCTCGGACGCGACCAAGGTGCTTTTTTCTCTCTTCCAGGTTTAAAACTTTTAGCAAAATTACGTAGTTTTATATTTTAACATAATCGATATATTGATGTTTGGCTTACGTAGGTACGTGAAACCAAAAAATATTCGTTTCTTATCAGTACGCCGTTCCGTTCATTAAACAACGATACGGTGGTCATTCACATATTTGAAACGTCTCTGGAAGGAATTTGGGTTACACGCTGGATGTATGAGAATAAGAGCGTGGAACACAATCTTGTATTCTACATAATTAGTTGGCCCAATTTGATTGCGGGAAACTTGTTTTTGTTTATAAATGAAGGTGATGATAAAGATATGTTTCTACTGACAGCGGACATTTTCAAAAACTGATTCCAATGAGCGTTAGAAAACATGTAGGTGAAAGAGGGTGACATGCTCCCCCAAATTGCCGCAGATGTTTGTGCATGACATGTGCATGTATTAATCATGTTAACAGCACTTTCACCAAATTAGCGTTCTGGGTGCAGATTCAATCGTTTAGGTATCATACTTTAAACAATGATATAACGTTCAATTCAAGTCCTTTTTAACATCACATTGAATAAATATATAGTACTTTACTTTACCGATTGATTAGGTCATAAAACATGTAAATGGTGACGGATGGTTGGACGAGGGGGTGGATGGAGAGCCGAAATTGGATCGCTCTGAGAAAATTAATTTGAAGTTTCGGTTAAAGAACTCAAGTAAGATTAGTGAAAATTGGTCTTGGTTTTCTTTGCAGATCATTTTTCAATTGTCACGCAATCTAAGCATATTTCAAGAAATGTGTGAGCGCATTGCACGTTTAAATTTTTAAAGAGAATGACCGAGTAGTCGCCCTCGCTCGAGTACCCTAAACGTACTTCTGACACGAGATCGTTATTTATTTAAACTTTAAACGAAATCTTGTGTAACCTTTGTTTACCCTTAAAATCTAAGTATGCAATAGAGTTTATAATCGGATTTCAGTGATGACGTAGGTATCTGAAACCTTACTCTTAGAGGGCTGGATTTCACAGAGAGTAAAAAGGTCGCGAATAAGATCTTAATTTCTGATTAGGACTTGTATTCTGTAAGTCTATTAAGGTTATTAGCATGGCGGAAGCGGGTTTTCTTTTTATTTGTTTTATCTCAGCCACAACTGTCAGGTGTCACTCCGTTTAGAATGCGTTGGCGTTGGTTTGTTCGGTTCTTTGAGCACACCTATACGTATGTGTGTGCTTCCCCTTAGTTTTCGTTTCCGTAATTCTCCACTTTTCGTACGGGAATTACTAAATTCAAACACTTTTGAAAGGCGATCTATCACAGTAAACAATAGAAATGTCAGCAACATTGCCTACGCTTTGGAAGCAGGGAAACTGAAACCATTACCTAATTTTGTTGCTTATGGCGTCGAGTTTGTATTTTTACTTTTTACTTCATTGACACCAGAATCTTTTTTCAGTTTCTAAATCGGAAAGAAGGAAAAACGTATCTACGGAAAATTCCGAAAACTCTGTTTGCCCCACTGATGGGCGTTAAATTGTTGCGGCAACAATAAATAAATTAATTTATAAAAAAGTTCTTAGATTTCTATATGTTACTTCACTAACAAAATCAATATACAGGGTTTCTGTTAGGTCTGGAAACCTACGATTATCGGGGAAAATAGACAAGATATCGAAAAAAGTTTTATACAAAAGTTTTGGGGTTCTTCAATGTCTACTGGGCAGTAATAATTTTAATTATACAGGGTCATAAACCACAAACCACACTAAAATTGCATTTTTTTACACCCTGTATATTCCATATTTCATTTCTTCTCCCAATTTTCAGCAAAATGTGTAAGAAGTAAGAGGCATAATGTACCTACCTAAGCTCCATCGCTTCCGGGTTATCTAGTTTTGAAAATAAACGTTGTGGACCTTATTTATAGTGGTCCAGGTCGGTGTGTTATAACAATTACAGTTCTCGTTTAATTGATGGTATTTGAAATATATTCATTATGTATAAATGAAACATATTGTACAGTGTGTCCCAGGTAGAACGCACCATATGGAAACAGTAATGTATTTTTTTTTAATGGATCCACGAGCCGTGGTGTGTTCAACCTGGTACACACGGTATATGTAATCGGCTACATTAATTCTCCGTAGCTTGACTAAACTTAGCCTTTGGTCTTCAAAACAACTAACGATAACGTAAGACTACAAACATGGAGAACTACATCGTTAATATTTGACGAAAATTATTCTGTTTTTTCAAATTTTAAAGCACGTCATTATACAGGAGATAACTAAATAAAAATTAATACAACAAAAAAATTTCAATGTGAAATAAACTTTTTTTCGAATTTTTTATAGGGAGTGGTAAAATTGAAATTTTTGAAATTTTAAGCGTTAGACCGGTTTAGGCATATCATAGACAGTCTACAAGGTGTCAAAGTGAAAGGGCAGAATTAAATTGAGAATTGTAATTATCGGTAAGTAGTTGGTGCAAATAATTATCGTCTTTTCTGCATCACTTGATTTATATAGCGCGTTGTCGTTTTAATAACTTTAGGAAATTCTCGGCCCTAGAAAGCCGCAGATAATAAGGAGTGGCAAGAATCTGATAGACATCTAAACATAATTCAAGATACAGTTGATAGATGGAAAGCACCACTACTATTAACTAGAAAAGATATGATTATTCTACACAGACTTAGAATAGGACACACTTCAATCACGCATAAACATATCTTCACAAAGGACCCAAAAAAATAAGGGGTAATATTATCTCAGTCGTGTTTTGTTGTAAAGATAGCTGACCAAAAAGTACGCAGCAAGTACCTATTTTAAAGATGCAATTCAGCAGAATTCGGAGCATGGGTAGTTACAAGGTACTGCCTAAAGTTCGTCCATTTCGGGAGGTACCGGCAATCAGATTTTCTCTTAACAAAAAATGGTTTCCTAAATTACTAGGAGTCATCTAGAAAAAAGCGTTAATTAATCGGTAATTACTATTCCGGGAGATTTTGCCCCCATTCGCGTTTTAGCCATCGATGCAACCACTGTGTGGTCCGTAGTAAGATCAAAGAGTAATTATGGTTACTCTTTGGTAAGATTTTTAATTCATTCGGGTCTGGGTTACCAGAGCAAGCAGTGTTTCGTAAAAAAGTAAATTGAGAGACTACGCGGTTAGTTAATCCGGAGAAGTTTTAGAAAAGAGTCTACCATATCAGTAGATTCATCGCGAAATAATTTAGTTCAAGGTTTGCCAGAGTGACAGTTACCGTTTTTCCGGGCAACAGATCTTCAAGTTCTCATCCATTTAATCTGGTCAAAACAAGGTTTGCGATAAACGGCACACTTAGCTCACACACAATTGCTGATGATGGCTTACGTATCCCATATTTCTTTGGAACGCACGATAATAAAACAAATTAGCCTGCTGAACACAATAACACCTTTTTATGGTAGCTATTCGAACGGGATACACTTTTAACTTTTATTAACAAGAAAACCTTTTTTAAAAACTCCTCGTTATGCTTTTTCAAATTGACGTAACTTCCTTACGTACATTGACAAAACCGCATTAAAATCTGTACGAATAACTGAATCTGCACGCCCTTTGCCTATCCAGATGTGAACAGCATACGTCGATACAGCCGCCTTACAGTAACAAGCTCCGTTTTTCTCTCTAATTTCGTATTTAACAGAACACCATTCCCACTCCTACTTCCGCCAATCTCAAATGCAACATTACACTAATATGGAGCCCTTGAGTTGTCCCCTATTCCATAAAAAAATTAAGCGCCAAAAGGAATCGTGCACGTACATCCCTTGTTATCAGCGCCAAACCCACGTGCGTCATGAAGTAATTAACTTTCGCGATAACACGATCAGATAGCACAAATGCACTCGACCAGATGTTCCTTAATTTTAAACAAGAAATTATGCAATTGATAACAACAATTCTAAAATGTAAAAATAGACAATTCCGATGAAATAAACCAATTCTGTGATATTTCTAATGAAATCGTCCAGATTTAAGTTGAATCAAAACATTCGCTTATACAGGGTGATCCGTTATCATTTTCGGTACTATTTGAGCCTAAATAATGTCCAACCGACGTTGTTTACACAAAAGTGTCGGACATCGAACAGGTGTTATGTTGAAAATCGATTTATTCATTGGTTTGTCTAGCTTAAGTTTCAATTGCACTTAGTCCTACGAGGATACGTTACATTCCTGTTTAAATCCCGTTACCTTCTCCGTTTCGTACAATTTGAAACAATGCCTTTGCGTTAACAACTACATTGAAATCCAATATTGTATTTTTAAGGACCTGCCAAACTGTAAGCAAAACAAATTTAACGTTACCAGCGATTTACCATGACGTTCCTATGCATTTAAATAAAATGGCGTCTTTGCGGAAACGAAAAGACAGCAAAGTTATGATGAAAGTTCAAGACGTCTGAACGTGCTATTACTTTTTTAACACTTATCACATATTTACAGATCAATAGCTTTATTTGGTATGAAAACATCCTCATCCTGCAATTTCCTTGTTCGTAACATAAATTTAAACATCCAAAAGCCATTCTTCTATGCTCTGGTGCCACCTAATTCCAGCAGGGGGTGGGAAATGATCAGCAGTAGTAATGTTTTTTGAACAAGAGATACAAAATTGCTTTTACTTAAAAGAAAATCTTATGAATAAAACACTCCGGTGGAAAACCTCATACTTTCTCATAACGATTGATAGAAGTCATTCCGATCGAGAATCTCATTCCAATTGCACGACAATTTTGGTTCTTTAAATGAGACTAATTTCGCATCGATTCGTCTAAATGTAGCTGTCGAGAATAAAAAATCGATTACCTACTAATACAGACGCGACCCTTGCACTCAAACACGTTCCATCATACATCAACTTTTTAATTAA